GTTTGGTTAATTCGGTTTCTCCCCTCGGTTAACCGAACTAACCGAGGAACCGAACTCCCGCCTCCCGGAGAACCAGAGTCCTGGCGCCCCCCTGCGACGGCCGACCTCCTGCGGCGCTGCATCCCCGCCCAGAGTACGGCGCGCCCTCCCGAGTCGCTGATTTTTTGGAAGCCGGAGTTGGTCGGTTAATTTGGTTCGGAACCGGAACCGAACCGAACTAACCGAAGCCGAACTTCGTCGGTACCGATTTTTTGGAAGAACCGATCGGTACCGACTTTCCTGGGAACCGAAGAACCGAGAAACCGAGGATTCGGTTCGGTTCGGTAATACCGAATGCCCAGGGCTAGCTCGAAGGCATGTAGGCTCTCTCCGTAGCCAGCACACTTACCTTCGGTTCCTGGTTTCGACACGTGACTTCCTCAACGAGTCCTTCGAGCGTCCGCAGTGTGGGTTTCCTAGCCGGTTTGATGCATTAAAGGTAGCTATAGCACCAGGTACGTAACATCGTGGAGTGCTTCCGATGGAGGAGCAGCTTCGAGCTATCGACCCCGCCCCTTTTCAATAAAAAAATAGATCACCGCGGTGCTAAACACCAAGATATGGAGCCGAGTCTGGTTCGATATACTGCGAGCTAAACACCAGAACAAGTCATGTCATTTGTGGGACCTAGGATAGGAGCGTCCCCGCTTCTCCGCACTGTGGACGCTCTTAGGGCACGTTTAGCTCGCGAAAATTTTTGGGTTTGGCTATTGTAACACTTTCGTTTCTATTTGGTAATTAGTGTCTAATTATGGACTAATTAGGTTCGAAAGTTTCGTCTCACGATTTCTCACCCAACTGTGCAATTAGTTTTTTTTCGTCTATATTTAATGCTCCATACATGCGTCCAAAAATTCGATGTAATGGGCAAAAACCAAAATTTTTTGGAACTAAACGTGCCCTTATTATTGACCCACGGTTCTTTTCAAGGTGGTTGGCGTGTTGCACACGCAGTCTTTGTTCTTCGTGAATCTGCTTTTCCGTTCATATGCAGACATGGAAGTGGCATAGCAGTTATTGGTGTTCGGGTTGATGTCCAACGTCCGTTGGTGTAGGTCCTCAAATTTAACACCGACAGTTGTGAACCCAATTTCTTGTGTCGGATGAAGCCTCTATCTTATCTACAGCTCAAAAATATTTATCATCGAAGACACAGATCGATCAGACAGTCGAGAGGAGCATTGGCTGTGCTACCAGAGTGCGAGAACAAGGATCCTCAGATGTTTTTATCGTGATCACTACTCTTGAGCCCTGCGCTCCCAACAAAAACATTATCTATGTCTATAGATGTAGTTCAGTAGCGTCTTTTGTAGTCCCTTGCTTTGTAAACCGGGAAAGCTATTCCCGTACTGTGCTTTAACGGTATATAATATATGTGCCGTTGTCAAAAAAAAATTGAGATTAAATAAGTCATGTGATGATCAATGACCAAAAAAGCAAAAGGGGGAAACTTTGTATGCCTACAAACAACTATAACTCGGTCGTTGACTCATGCATCCTCAAATGGAGGACGTACTTCCCGACAAAAAAAAGCTTTATTCAACTTAGCCAATTACATTATATATATACAAAACTTAGACAAATACATCATGATGATATAATCCTATTAAAAGTACTCCCTACTAGCTCCACCTATATAAGATGCACACGAGCTATAATTATTTTATGGAAATAGAAAAAAAGAATATGACACCACATATTTCATTTTACAGCGAGTCTTTTCCAACAACATATGACATACATTTTGATTGCCGGATAGACCCTCCAAAAAGCAATGTCTCCAACAAAGAGAGGGGAAGAGGGGATTTGTCCTACTATGAGCTAGTTCTAAGCATTTTATATTTAGGGCAGCTCTAATAATCTAAGCATTTTATTAGGGCAGCTCCAATAATGACTTATGAGCTGGCTCTAAGTATTTTATTCTATATTTTAATATAAGAGAGAGAAAAGCTAGTTCTTGATCAAGAGCTAGTCTTATACACTTTTCAAAATCACGTGAGGTTATCACGTAGCCTAATCATACTTAACATTATTAGAGAAAATTTTTCAGAGCTAGTAACTAGTTCTTATTATTACGGGTGCTCTTAAAGAGTAGTTGCAACCAACTTGCATGCATGATTACCTAGACGATGCCCTACCTCCAACGTGACCAAGCGTAGGGTCCTAGGGAGGGTGAGTGGGGCACGAGGAGATGTGGTTTGTTGTAAAGGTAAGGCAGCTATACAAATTTGAGGGGTTAGGGAAGACAAGGATACATGCTAGATGAGACAATATTTGTATGTTTAGGGAGTTTAAATGAGCCGAGGCCTGTAGTACGAATTATCTCGTGAAGTAGTACAACCTATGACAAAATTAAACCTCTTAGACCCCTTTGAAATGGAGTGAAAATTTCCTGTTTTCTAAGTTTTTCTCTGAAAATGAATTGATTTTTTTAACTTTTTGTATAATTCTTGCAAAGTTTCTGCATTCTCCCAATAATGCTTTGAAAACTGATGGAGCAGTAATTTTCACAGGAGAATCGAATACTTCTCTTACTACATGCTCAACAATAAAGCACGACCAATTGCTCGGAGGTTCTGTTCTTGTTTCAGATCTCAAGGAGCTTAATTATATTAGCGGGAGTTTACATGACCTGCTTTACGCTTGATTTATGCTGCAAATAGGTATTAAGTGGGTGTTTGGTTTGAGAAACAATCTCATTTTAGATGAGGTATTGTATCATGAGAATTCATAGGTTGAATTATGACGGAATCAACTCGTACCTTCACTAAGAGCTTGTTTGATACCGTGGGCTAAATTTTAGTCACATAAACTTTAGCCCTAGTTATCCAAATAGGTGAATTAAAAGTGAACTAATTTTTAGTTCCCATCCCACTAGCCATTAGTTCATTAGTTGGCAAATGGGGACTAAAAGGTACACATGAGTCTATGTCTAGGCCGGAAAGCTTTTTTACTTTTAGTTCACTTTTAGCACTGGACTAAAAATGGTCCATCTAAACTTTAGTCTAACTAAGCTTTAGTCTACCTAAACTTTAGCTCTAGGTGATCCAAACAAGATCTAATTACATTAGTTTCTGAGAGATGAGATGGTGATGAATCAACACATGCCATTTCATAAACTAAAAAAAAAGAGTAAGAAGACAATGGAAAAATAAATTCTTGAAACCAAACACCCCTAAGCAATGAAAAGCTCCCTCTTGATCTCTATATATAAAAGAAAAAAGTGACTGTCGTTAGGGCAAGATACTTTGATATTATATGTGTATATATATTACATAAAGAAATTGACCTTGTACTAAGGTGGTCTAATTCCTCTTCCAAGAGAAGGAAGCCAGATTTATTTTCATTATCTAAAAAAGGAAAGAAATCGACCTAGGATGTACCACTTCATTCTAAATTATAAGATGTCTTGTCTTTTTAGACACATAGCTTTTATTATGTATTTTAGATATACACTATACGTGGATACATAGTTGAAAAAATACATCTAGAAAAAAGTAAAACATTTTATAGTTTGGACTTTGGAACGGAGGGAGTAAAACCTTAGCTTAGCTTTGAAAGTTTGAATTTACAGCGTTCATACATGTCCTTCACGGTTTCACCCTTTAGGTATTGTTTGGATACGCATGTATTTATCTCAATCCACATGAGGCCAACCACTCCTCTATAATTCCCCTCATCTTTCCTATTATTCCTCTCATTCTTCCAAACTAATCTGCTTGCAGAAATTACGGAAATAACTTAACAAACTTGCCAACAAGAGTGCGTGGCTGTTCAGCTACTTGGTGCTGTGGACGCTGGCTTTGGGGACGCTGGCTTGGTCTTTTTGCGGGTGTATGTCTTGTCGACAAAAGTGTCCACAACATCAACAACAAAAATAACAATAACAACATAGCCTTTCAGTTCCAAGCAAGTTGGGATAGGCTAGAGTTGAAACCCACCAAGAACCCCAAGTCACGGTTCAAACACATATTTGCATTAATTAATTTAGTTAACAGGTGAAGTTGTATTTCCTTTTTTTTCTCAAACACGCAAGAGAGTTGTGTGTGTCATCATTTAAAGAAGGAAGAGAAAGAATACAGAGAAAACCATCCAAACACTATGCGCTACATATGCTAGGTAATTATAATAAACACGCATAGACATTAAACCTGTGAGAGAGACCTAGATTAGCCCCATGACCAAGTTCCTGAGATCCCTGGCCTTGGCAGCACACCAGACAGTTCCTTCCTCAGCCACCACCATAATCACAGATGGATTGGTATTACTGTATACACAGTCCTAACAATGCTTGCACAGCTCCCAAGCAACAAGGGTAGTGTTGAGGCCTTTTGTGAATTGCTTGTCGGCTCCCAAGCAATAAGGACGAAATTATAGTTCCTCTCAATGACTCTCATTTCCATTAATGTAGTTTTGATGCTTGAGTTAGACTTTGGATTGTCGTGTACCTTAAGTTTGTACCTGTTTTACATTTTGCCCACTTGCATTTCCCCGGTTCATGACTCCCGGTTTCCTACTACTTTACTAAGGCCCTGTTTGGATCTCCTAAGAAAAATGAGAATGAGACCCAAAACTTGGATTCTAGAATCCAACTATCTACCCAAACCTTTGTATTTGCAGATTCTCATAGCCATTGAGATCAGAACACCCCTCATTTTTTAATCTAGAATCCAGATTCTACATCACTATATAAAATCACTATGAGAATGAGATCCAAACAGGGTATAAGTTGGGTACTTGGGTTTGAAGTAACTGTTGGTATTCTCGAATCATGAATATCCTTGATCCCAATACAACCTGAAGCAACTCAGTAATGTTTGTCTTATGAACTATTTGTCAGGGAACTCTCAAAGAAAGCACAGAAAGCGAACAACATCTGGTGGAGGCTGAGTGGCCTGCTGGGTGACCGAAACCGGCAGGCCATGTACATACTGCTCCAGGCGCTGTTCACAGTGGCAACAATGGCCCTGACCGTCCCTATATTCCTGTCCTACCGGATGCACGTGGTGTTCCTGATACTCAAGGTGTGCGCGTCGACATGGAATGGTGGCAGCTTCATCTTGGAGGTGGGCCTCGACAAGTAGTACAGAAGCAGCAGAAGAAACTGGACATGAAGCCCATCGAACAGGGGAGCTCGACACAAGGTGCGCCAGGTGATCATGGTCCACTGGGTAACCACCACCAGCACACATCTGAGGAGCAAATCCAGGAGTGAGGAAATTGAAGCTGGATGTGTAAGATTAGATTTTGCTGTTTACTGATGCAACCTTTGTTTTTACTGACTGTTCTTTGTATTGGATTTTTTTTCTTTAGCTCTGCTTGAGTTGTGAGTTGTGACATCTATAGGTTTAGGTTGAACGATATGGGGTGAGAGATGATGCGTGCCCATGCTCTCTCGGGCTAGGGCAAAATTAAGTTGAGATGTTTTCCTTTTCTGTAGGAGTTTGTTTTCGCTGTGGCCGTTGTGAATTGCGTGTAGCTTTTGCATTGTTCGCTTGAAGATGATGTTTAGGTCATTAGGTGACATCAGACCATGGTTGGTGTAGAATCATGCGAATTTGCTGCGTGCAAGAAAAGGTTCCTGGAAGATGCCCTGCAAATGCAAAGGGTGACCACCTGTGTTGACTGGGACCAAGTCAATTGGTAAACTTATTGTATTTTTTTTTTGGCTGGTAAAAAATGATGCGCAGAAGAGTAAAGATACTGGATTCTCTTTGTTTTCTGACTGTTCGTGATAAGTACCGCGTGCCGCGGAGGAACGGGTCCAGAACGCATGATCCCGTGACGAGAACTTGGGGTGTTATTAGTCAAAAAAAAAACTTAGGGTGTTACTTTACAATGTGGGGGACGAGGAGGGAGGAATGAGGTGCCTTCATTCGTCGGGGGCAGATAGGAGATAGTTTGGAGAAGGTTTTCACGTTTTGAACTCTTAAAATGAGACGAGGGCTCAGATAAGGGATTGGTTGGAGTTTCCTTAAGGTCTAGAATCCTGGCTTGACCAGGTACTATTGTTCATCACAGGCATACGTCACCGTGATGAGCTAGGCAGCTTACATCGCGTTGCATTAAACCAATCGTGACCGTAATAGAAATTTCCAGTGAATTCCAATACGAGCCTGCTCGGCTATATAAACATGGCAGCGTTGCATCCCAAGAGATTTTAGTTTTCCTTAATTTTGATTCTCTTTTATACTACTGTTACATACCATCTGTTCCCTTTTCCATTTCCTAAGATACTACACCAGTACACCACAGCCTCCTGCGATCGGAACCGTGTGATCGATCGTGGTCACAATGTGGGTGTTCACAGGGCCACCGTCATCCGCGCTGGCCGCCCTAGCGCTGGCGCTGTTCCTGCTCAACTCGAGCGTCGCCATGCGCCGCGCTCTAGGCCGCGGCGACGCCTGGGTGGCAGCGTTCGTTGCGGCCGCCACGGTGCTTGTGACCGCTCTCCTCGCCACGGTGCGCGCGCACGAGCGAGCGCGCGAGGAGAGGCGCCGGGGCCTGTTCAAGGCCGCGGCGTGGGCTCAGTCCGCGGCGCTCACGGCTATTTTCGCGCACCGTGTCGCCGCCGCGCTCGCGCAGGCCCCAGCCATGGCTTGCCTGGTTTGGACAATGGCCGGCACCACGATAGCCGGAGGGTTCTTCTGCCTCTTTCTGCATGGTCGTCGGGATGACACTGACGTCGTCGCTGGTGACCGCGATGCACGACGAGCGTAGTGCGCGTCGTTACTGTCATACAGCTGAACTGTAGTAATAGTAGCAGTAAAAGTAGCTACTTCAAACAGATCCTTGAGTCCTTGTTACCACATATATAGTGCTAATAAATACGTTGTGTGATTCGTTGGTATTGCCTTCTTTGGTTGCTGTTCTGGCTGATCACCGAGTCTTATGCCCTTTGAAAAATTAATGTAAACTGTCTCGTGCTATATCCATGTTGTGCGGCTGGTCCGGGGCCCTCGCTCGTGAACCACACTCACCCACGGGCGCAGCGCCCTTGTTACATACTCCCATAGTCCTAAAGTTTCTGGGTTGACGCGGTCGAGGTACAGGATCGCGGAATGCATGGTACGCTACTTACGACATATTTTTACGCTTCAGGTCGAAAATGAACCCGTGAACCTAGGTCGGGGTCGACGAACCCATGTCGAGGGTTGAAGACATCAAACCCGTTTTTACGTGACTATGCATCCTCCTACCTACGGATAAGATCACTGAAACAAATCATGTAAGGATGAGAACAGAAATGAAACATATGATTTATTAGGGCTCAATTTTTATATTTTACTGTGTTTGGGTAAGACAGAGATGAAAACGAAAACAACATTTATGTAAATGATAACAGTCTGCATCGTTTTCGACCGTTTTAGCAATTTACTACTCTATCCGATTCAATTTGTAGGCTATTTTGGTTTTCTAGATACATAACTTTTACTATGAATCTAAATATATCGTATATCTAGGTACGTAGCAAAATTTATATGTCGGGTTCATAAACCCGGGGTCCCTCGCGGACCGGCTTTCCAACAAAGGCCCGGTCCTAGCAGACAACGTGCAACTCATGGGCCGGCCCAAGTATCGAACGACAAGCCAGGAGGGCGATCTGATCGCCGACCGGAAGGCTGGCCGAGGAGGAACGGCGCCCGTTTTTCGACTCCGACCCTCCTCTCCGACCGGAGCGCTCACTTCGATCTCCAACCCGCCTCCGGACGCCCTTTCCGACCGGAAGGTCTGGCCGAAACACTACTTCCGACTCCGACCCCATGTCTCTGACCGGGGTACGCAAAAACCCTGCTCACCGCTCTTCTCCGACTGGACGCAACGAGGGCCGACTGGGACCGACCGACCGGGGACGCCCGCCCGAAAAGGACCAGGGAACGAACGGAGAAAGTAAGGCAAGGCGCACAAGTCAAACCACGATACTAGGGACCGTATCCTGTACACCTGCAGAAACAGTACTCTGCAACCGCCCTGGCACAAACAGTGTTGTAGGCGTCGACATTTTCCCTACAGTATTGTGGGCGTCATTAACTCCCATACGGTAAGGCACCCCCCATATGCCTTTGGGCATCGATAGTGTTGTGGGCGCCGGCATTTACCATACCGAGTGAACATGGTAAAACCCCTCACATGCCTCTGGGCATCAACAGTATAGCAGGTACCGACATCTGCCATACCCAAACAAAACGACGCAACCTCTCACGTGTATCCGACATCCAATAGTATTGTGGGCGCCTACCATCATCCTGTACCTGCCGACGTGGGCAACAAGGTTTAGTAGCATACGTACTCTCTCTCTCACACTTGTAAGGCCATCACATTCATCTATAAAAGGGATGCGCTCTCTCCCAAGAGAGTTAGTTAATCCAGATTCATTAGATCGACCAAGTTCACTAGTTCACAACCACAGAACCGACAGGTTCGAACCTCAAGTACACACTTGAACACATAGCTCATAGCGGAGCTCCTGTCACTCTCGACCCTTCCGACCGGACCTCTCGTACACCCCATCTTTCTTCTTCTCGTTTATAACCCCATGCAAACTTCGAGCACCTGGGCTCAGGAATAAAATCACCGACCAACTCAAACTGGACGTAGGGCACGTTGCCTGAACCAGTATAAACCCTGTGTCATTGAGTGCTAGACCACCTCCGATCACAACGTACGGCAAAACTATAAATATTTACTTGTTGGTCACTTTCTGCACCGACACTATATATCTAGAAAATCCAAAACAAACTATAATTTGGGGACAGAGGGTCGTACTGCTATTTTCAACCAAAAATTTCGGATGATACTATACATTTTTCTTTTACTATCCTACACTCCCATAGTTCTATGCTATTTGAACATATCACGTATATAAAGTTTGTATCCATTATGTTTGAAGATCTTCATTATACCCTAGCATATCGGGGGAGGGGAGGGGCCGCGTCGCGGCTTGTCAGGGAGGGGCGGAGCTGTGCCATCAGCGGTCGGTGGAGGGGCAGCGCCGTGCCGCCGTGGCTCGAGGAGGGGCGGGCCACGCCACCTGGTCGGGAGGGCAGGCCGCACCGTCCACCATGGCCGGTCGGGAGGGTGGAGCCGCGCTGTCAGCGGTCGGTGGAGGGGTGGGGCTGCGCCGCCACGGCTCGGGGAGGTGCGGGCCGCACCGTCGCCGGTTGAGGAGGGTCGGGCCGTGCCGTCGCCGGTCGGGGAGGGCCAGGGGCGGGTTGATGGGTGACGGCCGCGAGCTCCAAGTCACCGTCGGCATCCCCACGCGTGGTCCAAGGCGCGGCGACGCGCACTCCGGGGGTGGCCGCTGCGCTCCACGGGCGGCAGGACACGCGCTCGGTGGGGGCGGCGTGTGGTAGGGGCTGGTGGTCAGGGGTGGATGGGGATTAGGGTTTGGAGGATTATATATGGCTTGGGAAGGTTGGGCCTAGTGGGCGGTGGGTGGGGCACAGGGTGGGCAAGCGGGCTGGTGGCTGGACCAGGTTGGTGGGAGGCTGGTTCGGTGGAACCAGCTAGCTGGACTTTGGGTTTAGCCTTTCACCTATATATATATATATATATATATATATATATATATATATATACACACACACATGAATACTTTTTGAATAACTTTATTCTCAGAAATATTTTGGGTTACGATAATTACTATGTTAATTTACGAGATTATAGTAATTCCTTACTAAGTTGTTTACTATAACGTTATGCTAAATATCTCCATGTGTTATTAGTAACCCAACTATCGTAAATATGTATTGACATGATCGTAAATTAATATATAAAATTATCGTAAATGGAGGTGGCCACAGAATAACTTATTTTATAATTTTATATGTCTATATAATATATATATATATATATATATATATATATATATATATATATATATATATATATATATATATATATATATATATATATATATATATATATATATATATATATATATATATACACACACACATGAAACGGAGGGTAACTGCCACCCTGGGTGCGGTAGCTACCCATCCACTAGAATGTTCAGACAGCTCTGGCTCCGGTCTTCCTTCCCAGCTTTTTTCTCATTTGGGAAAATGCAGGACCACGTCGTTTCGTCCTTTGCTAGCAGATAAAATCAGGCCCCCTACAGCCTTGTGCATCAATAGAAATACAGGGAGGGTGAGAGAGAAAAGAGGCGGAAGAAAGATGAAAAATAAAGAAAGAGAAGAAGAAGAAAAGATCAACTCCTCCTTCAATCATGTTCTACATCTACCACTAGGTCCCATGCTCCCAGCATGCATGCACAGCCACCTAGCGGATGCCCTCCCCCTGGCACCACAGTGGGGGTGCGTTTTAGAATCAGAACATGCAGAATGCTTGGTCGTGTCTAGCCGAAATTGAAAATTTTCGCTGGCCTTCGAATTTGTTCAGATGTTTTTGGAGGCTGTGCCTTCCGATTTTGTATCTTACTCATGGCCTTTTTTATTCAGCTACGAGTACCGAGTTTTTGGTGGCTGTACGTTCCGACTTTTATCATTTTTTTCTTCAAATGAAAAATGGTCATGTAGGATCTTATTTTGTAGATAAAATCATAAGAAATATTGAGGTGAAAATAGATTACAAATAGGATATATGGTTAAAAAATATTAGCAGTTGAAGCTTGATTATCTAATTTTTTTGAACTCCGAGCAGCCTTTTCAGTGGTGATTCTGAACCAGGGTCATGAGATGGATGTGAGACGCTGGTCCCCACCTGCATGGGTGAAGGGGAGCTGAGAAAAGTGCAAAGACGACTGTGGCGTTGTCGTAGTCCGTTTTGTTCTAATTACCTGATTTTTATCCAATCAAGTTCATTACAGTGTGACATCGTACTTGTTTCTAAAGCAATTTTTTCTAAATTAAGCTGCAGCAAATCTTGTTCAGTAGGGTACATAATTTTTTCCCAAAACGTTTCTTTGGTTGTGGAGGGACATTTTTTTCTCTGGTAATTGTTGTTTTCTTCATTGAAATATGGTTATGTGGGATCTTATTTTGTAGATAAAATCATAAAAAAATTATGGTGAAAACAAATTACAAATCGGACATGTGGTTAAGTAGATATTAGCATTTGAAGCTTAAAGAATTTTGAACTCTTTGTGCAAACAAAATGTGAGATAGACGAGAATGGAGTGTCTGAGCCACCACACAAGGACATCTAAAAGCTGCAAAGCAACGTGGTTGTCAGGGACCTTCATCATATTTGTTCAGCAATCCACCCATGGCCTCTTTGTCCTTTGAAGAAATGATTCTGAAGTCTAGACACACAACAGGTGCCTTCAAAATAAAGAAAATCTAAGGCCTCGTTTGACATGGCTCCACTTCACCTATGAAACCTTTTTTTTTGGGCTTCAGCTCCATGAACAGCTCTATGGGTGGAGCTATAGCCGTTTTGATAAATCGTTTGGCAAAATAGCTTCACATATAGTTTTTCTTAAAATATGCTCTCAGAGAACGCCACGTAGAATGAGGTGAAGCCGAGAGAAACCACTATTTTTGGCTCCTTCCCACCCCAAAGCTCTGTGAGAAGCACGTTTTTAGGGGCTTCATCGGTGAACATGCAGCAACACCTTTCATGTTTCTTTGATTTTACTACACGTTTAAACAGTATTTAGCAGTCTGCATTACTCAAATCATTAGCCATAATTCAGGATGCTTGTGGTTGTAGGGGGAATCAGGATGATGTGCTGTGGTAGACTGCATGCAGCAGTCCTTCGAGGGGTTGCAGACTGCGGCCACTGCAAAGTTTGGATGGCGAATGAAGCATACAGGCAGCAGAAGCACGCCGCGTAATGACAGGCTACTTCATATCGACTACCTCTGGATAGCAGGCTGGCTGTAGCAAGCAAGACCGGCCAACCCTGTGCGTGCATGTCATAGTGTTAGGCATGCAAATACTAGACCCAAACACTAACCCTATCAACCCACCAAATTCTTTATGGGTTTTGGATCAACCCAACCCACTCTGTCCTTGAGTACTTGTTCCACCAAAGAACACTACGAGTGCAGGATAAGAAACGAAGACCCGTGAGGAGGAAGAAGAAATGTTTTGGGTACCGGGTCAGTGGGTCATCCCATGAAACTCTGCATCGCTACGTAGTGTAGTGGTCCTAGTCCAACCCTATAATGCACGCCATTTTTTTTTCCAAAAGTACATGAAAATTTGGCGCACCTATGGCCTCTTTGTCCTTTCAGAATTTTTTCTGAACTCTAGACACGCAGCGATGGTCCCAATTGCATGCGTCTGCCCTAAAAGCGAACTGAGCAAACGGCAGAGGACGGGCTGACATCGTACTGCTATGCCATTTGTATTGAACCAGCATCGTCCATCAGATTGCGCTACTAAGACACGTGTCCAACATCCAGCAGCGACGGACACTATCTGTTGGCACTGAGTTTTCCATCTTTGCATGGCATGCTCAGTGCTCGCTCACTTGTTGCTAGGGTTTTTGCTGCTACTGGTGCAGTGCATGATGTGGCTGAGGTCCTCGATGGTCCGATATGGAAGAAGAAAGAGCGGGGTAGGAGGTAGAAAGAGAGGTGGATGAGAGAATGATGAATGGGCTCCACAATAGACAGTGACTGATGGTATGAAAACTCTATCCATCCCATTTAGCTGACTGATGGTGTGAAAACTCTATCCATCCTATTTATACTTAGCTCGATCACTCCAACCAAATAGACAATAGAGGTGGACACATCCCTCTTAATAACCAAACACATAATAGGAACAACCCATCCAAAATCAAGGATGAAACCATCCCATCCTAGGACATCCCCAGACCAAACACGCTCACCCCTTTGGATGCACTCTCTCTTCTCTCACACACACATACACCATATCCCTATAAGGGTCTTTGAAAGACTGAGCTAGCAGAACTCGAGATTGATGAAGTCATCGTAGGCGTCTCGCTATCGATGGACATGTCGCCTACCACTGAAAGGATAACACCGTTAAAATTCTAAAATAAATTCAGAAAAATATAAGCACCTATATCAAGTCGAGAATTTGAACTTTGATGAAAAGTTTCTATCACAAGGATCCAACTAGCTTAAAGTTATTGTTTTTCTTGACATTTGGCGGTCACAATTCTTCTACTGTTTCTTGATTCAGCGATTCAAGAGTAATTTGCTTTGGTGACTGTTTTTTTCTTGACATTTAGATTTACTGGACACGATCCTTGTCCTTGTCAACGGATGCAACACATACAGCCTCTCATCTGAGTACAGCTGTAGTATCCGTTCATAAACGAACACACGTCCACACTACACACGCACATCCCACACACACCACACGTGTACAAATTAGACCTACAACTACACACAGATCAGAAGACCGCGTCCTTCTAGAGATCATCGGGACCATCCATGGCTCCGTAGGCGACGGGGGCGCCGCAATCCCTTTATGACTCGACACGAGAGAGGCTACATATTAATAACGGGAATAAATCCCGGTGAGAGGCGGGACCCGCCGCGGCAGCTTGCACACCTGGCTAGCTAGCCACCCGAGCCTAGCTCGGTTCTCGCCACCTATTAGCTCTCTATTTAGATATATTAGAGCTAATTTTAGCTACTTTTTAAATAACTAGCAATTAGCCCTTTATCAAACAAAGACGTAGCAACAATGCCCCGTCCCACGAAACATAGCCATGGATCGGTGAAGTTTCTCGGCTTGTTCTTTCGCTTTGCTTGTAGAAGTGACTTCAACGGAGGCACGCATTAATCTGTGGTACGTCAGTTAGGATAACTGCTAGCGTGCCGCGTGCGCCGTGCAATATGAGCGTCTGTGCAATTTCGTCGTCGGACCTCCGTGCAAAGCAAAGCTTAGCCATTTAGCATAATGTCTGTATAAATAGCACCGTTATTCAGGCTTGATGATTTTCGTTTCCTATCATCCTATTCGGCTATTCCGTGTGCTGTGGACCACTGGAGAGATATATAGCTGGCGGTTGGTATTCCCTAGCAACTAGCAAGCATGGCTGTGACACTGACGAGGCACCACGTCGGCACCGTCCTCAGCATCGCGCTGTTTGTGCTCAGCTCGTGCGTCGCGATGCGCCGCTCGCTCCGCCGCGGCGACCACTCGGCGGCGATGGTCGTCACGGCAGCAGCTTTGCTCCTCGCCGCTCTCCACGTGACAGTCCGGGCACACGAGCGGGCGGCGAGACGCCGCCGGGGCGCGCTCAAGGCCCTGGCCTGGGCGCTGTCCTCGGCCCTGACGGGCATGTTCGCCCACCGCGTCGCTGCGATTGCCCCGGCGCCCCCGTTCGCCGTCATGGTCTGGAGCATGGCCGGCGCTGCAGTGACTGGTGGGTTCTACCTCCTGTTCGTGGTGCACGACCATGGCATGGAGACGCTGCCGTACGTCCCTAGGTAGGGTAGTGACCTTCGACAGGAACCATGACACATACGAATACTACGCTGGCTGGTGTGCCGCAGCCTCCAAGAAGTGATCATGTGGAGTAAATTGTTTGCACGTGATGCAAATATCCATCAATCAGCATGTTCGCTTGTTGGACTTATCACCAACCAACCAATAAGTTGTTTTCCTCTCACAACAAACCAACACCAGCCGGGGTTATCAGCCCAGAAACCAACCAACAAACATGCTCTATATCTCTTGTAAACCAAAACCCCACTAATACTATTCCTCTGCTTCCACATTGTCACGTCATCACTGTTTCCACCGTCCGATATTAACCAGCAATCTCCACCCTTACCGTTAGTTGTTTGAACCATAATCCCACCTAATGCCTTTAGCAAGTGCTCCTCTTGTAAGCACACCCTACCCAGCCAAGTTGCTGTGGTTCATCTGTGTGGCTCTGTAAAAAAAAAAAAAGGACGGCAACTAGGCCATAAGAGTTTTCTAATGCCACCACTCTTCCGATTCCTCTCCCCACTTCACCTCTTCCGCTTCCGTGACAATTTAGTTATAATTTAGGAGCTGCCACTAGCTTGAACCCCACACCACCCTCTCACAAATCCACGTCCATGGAAGCTTCTTAATCAATTATCCAAAGTTAGTCCAATTAGCAGGGGTACTTTTTAGCGTGAGGATTCCATTGAGGCACCGATCCAGCGTGTTCCCACCATGATTATCGCAAATCTTTGAAGCTAGCTGGGACAGTGTCATGCATACTTCTTGGCCTCTACCGTGTTTCTGCACACATATTATTTCTCATACTTCTGTTTCTAGAGCTTGGTTTGTAGCATTGGCTAAGAGATGCATGTCAGCATGCCATCATTTTATTCTACTAAATGGTTGCATGTTCGTATAGATCACAAGATCGTCTATTCAGCTCATATAAATGGCATTATGTTTTCGTTTGACATTTGTCATATGTCTTCATAAAGTCAATAGAGAAGTTACCCAACTCCTATTGGATTTTGGTATTCCAACTCACACATGCCTTTTGCAATCTTTCAAGGATGAATAGTGAATGTTATTTAAATCTTTATCTTCTCTTACCAGCTTCAGATCTGATTACCAATCATCTTAGATCACCCTCACAATACCCGCGGCAACGCGCGGCGAATTCATTTCTGCGTACCAGAACAGAACTCCAGAAGCATGAGTTGAAACATGATAACATTGATCATCAGAATCCAAAACAAGGTATATGAAGATGACATCATGATGCTTTGGTCAACAAAATTTCCTAAGCTTAGCCAACTGAGGTTCTGCAATTCTGAAGCTATGAGCCAAGTACAGAGCTTCAGCCTTGAAGAGTACACATCAAGGTATCTGAATGTGTTAAGAATGAAATGCAACTGCAGTTGCTTCCCATATATAGCCAGTTTGCTGGAATCATTTCATTGCGTGCCTCAGTTGGCTATTTTCCCATTGCAAGCTGATGCATATGCATCGGCAAGGCTAGGAAGAACATCCTTATGAGGATGTACATACCTTGAGCAGAACACGCTATCACTAAGCGAGACCATCGTGTAGAAGCTCTGATCTTTTCGGATCAATGCTTTCTCCTGGAGCACCTTCATGACGTAATGCCGGGGCACCAGCCGGCGTTCCAGACTGTACATCAGGATTGTGGGCAAGCCCTGAATGTACTTGGTATCCACGCCGACCACTTTGGTCAGGAACTCACAGATGCGCTGAATCCTCTCCCTGGAGCGCACCAGCACCAACGGGTTCCTCTGCACCATTCTGGCAACCTCAGCGTCTGAGCACCCGAGAATCTTGGCCATCATCTTGAGCTTAGAGGCCATGGTCTCCGGGCGGAGGCCCGCCACGGCGGTCACAGCCTGCCTGAACAAAAGCGTGTTGCGGGGCACGCCCATCTCATCAGCACGCACGAGGATGGCCCTGGTGCTGTCCGGGTTGCTGGTGAGCAGCCTCGGGTTGGACACGCACATTTTGCCAATCTCCTGGACAGATAGACCGTACTCCTGGAGCAGCCGGATGTTGGTCCTCACCACCTTGTGGAGGTCGGAGGTTACGAGGTAGGAGTTACGCCTGACGATGCGGAGGAACTTGTCGGGCGAGCCAAGGAAGGGCATCCAGAAGCCGAGCTTCTCGTCGATGTTGAAGGTGCGGAATGAATAGGGGGCCACGCGGACGAAGCTGCTGATCTGCGCGCCGGAGAAGCCGTAGCTGCGGAAGCGGTCCACGCGGACCCGCAGGGTGTTGTCGACGCTGCAGTTGAGGATGCGCGGGTCTTTGGCCACGAGCAGCGTGATGTCGGCCTTGGAGAGGCCGAGCGCCGGGCCGGTGAGGAAGGAGAGCACTGCGTCGGCGTTGGAGAACGATTTCCAGTGGGAGATACACTTGGCGGCTTTCGCGGCTTGCTCTCGGGTGATGCCGCAGGTGGAGACGAGGTAGTCATCGGCGGCGAAGTGGCCCGGAGAGGAGTAGGTCGCGCGGCGGCGGTGGAGAGGAGAGCGTGCTGGAGGGAGAGCTGTATGAGAGATGCGGAGCGGTGGACGGGAAGGAGATCTTGCAGGTGAAGGGAGAGATGTTTTTGGAGGCGGAGCATGGCGGCGGCGGCGGCGGCGGTAGTGCCAGGCTTCCGACCTCTCACGCACCCCTTCCCCTCAGCTTGTCAAAACCCTCACCAGCGCGACCGGACATCTCTTGGGCTGAAAAGCATTATTTGAGCCCACAAGTGTCGGGCCGAATCCAACAATAAAGCGCGCGCGCGCACACAGAACAAGCGCTACGTGTTAAATTGCTGAACATGAGCTCTGCTTCCAGATCTGTGTGTCCATAGACGGTCTCCAACGGTGGACGCAAAGAGCGACCCAAACGTAAAATGCGCTACGTAAAATTATTTGCGTCCCGAAAATACTCTCCAACGGAGGACGCAAACCAACTAGCTGTTTTGCGTACCACGTGAATCGGTAGGCAAAAAACGTTCTTATTCTCCACGACGCAAACTGTTGCGAACGACGACGGCGAGGCGCGCCTGCCCCTGGAAGCTCCGCGCGGGGCCATCTGCGCGGACGTCGAGGCAGCTGACCGGAAGGGGAGAGGGAGCCACCCAAAGCCGCTTCTCTGCCCTCCCTGCCGTGCGAAACCGAGCACCCAAAGCCGCTCGCCAGCCCGCCGCCGCCGCCACTCACCCAGGAGTGCCGCCGCCCATCATGCGCGCCTTCGCCCAGATCCAGCATGGCGGCGCCCCCCTGAGCCCAAAAGGCGCTCTTGCTGCGCCCAAGCCACTGCTTGCTCCCGGCGACCATGGCCTTGAGCTCCGCCCTCGAGCTCGCCCAGCGCCGTGGCGGCGAGGCCTCTTTGCTTCCCGTCCAGATCTGGTTCACCCTCGAGCTCCACCCACCCCGCCCGCCTTTCGCCCGGCCAAGGCTGCCATTCGCTTCGCTCCGCCCCGCCGCCCTTTGCTTTCGCTTTCGTTTTTCTTTTTTTATGTCGCCGTTGGAGAATGAAAGATTTGGGTGTGCTACCCTTTTACTGTAGGCGACGTAAATCGTAGAATGGGTCTCTGTTTTAGGTTCCCGTCGTCGGAGATAGTCTAACACAGCAAAAATGTGATATGCAAGTAGGGATCCAGCTTTGTGTTATATTCTGCATATAGTTGGGACGTCAGCTACCACCAAAATAACAGCGGCGCTGAGTTTTAAAATAATTTTAGAAAATCGTGCTAAATTTAAAATTTAAACCCGAGTAAACATGTTTTACACTAAAGAGCATAATTGAAGCTACTTAGTCCCAAGCTATATGCAAGTAGGGACCGAGATGATTCCTAACGAGTGGTTTCTACTTTCTACTTTCAAGCTACTGAATTAGTTTATTTCCATTTTTTTTCGAACCTTTGTAATCTACACGTAGGCTCATATATACATGCATGTAAATGCACGCCGCTCTAAATTAGTTTATAATTTGCATCTTATTTTCTTCTCCTTTAAAACTTGATCTCCATCCAGAGCTATGGCGGTGAAGCCATGGGCACGATCGTGGGGCTCGGCGGCGGGGAGGCCGGGGCGTCACCAAGGAAGGGTGAGGACGACAACGACGACCTCCACGACGGCGCGCCACCTGAGTTGGCACTGCCGCTCGTCATGACGGCGGCTCTCGCGGGCGTTCTCCACATCGGCAAATGGCGACGGCACCTCGACGGTGGCTAGTGGGGCTTGCCCCGGACCCAGGCCATCATAGCCGGTGGCCACGAGGGCCACCACGACAGCAACGGTGAGGGGGCAGCGCTTTTTCCCGTGGACTCGCCTAGGCCCAATTTTTTACAATTTGGCCCTTTTTTGAAGAAAATTTATGTTTGGCCCCTGGGAGACTTAAACTCATCTTTGGACCCTGAGGGTCGGCGTCAGGACTCATGGCGCCAAGGTAACACGTCTCGGCGCCACAGATCTTGGCTCCGAGGTGCTTGGCCGAGCACAGCAGGGCATCCTAGGTGGTGTTCACGTGGCCGGTACCTCGGCGCCAGAATACATGGCGCCGAGCTCGGCGCCACAGATCTCAGCGCCGACCTCGGCGCCATGTATTCTGGCGCCGAGTATGGATTCAAAGCATGTGGCCAAGTTTCCCTTGCCGAGGCTGCTCTCATTTCTTCCTCCTCCCTCTCGGTTTCTTCCTCTCCCTTACCGGCCCAATCTCTTGAATCGACGAATTTGACCTTGGATACTTGGATTTGATCCATACATCTTCGCGAGCAAGGTATCCTCTCTCTCCTTATCAAATTTTACGCATTGATTTGGTATATATTACATCTATTTTACAACCCTAGATACGTTATTACCTAATGTTTGAAGTGATTTTTTAGTTTTTGTATTATGTAACGGTAGGATGCCAAGGCGTGGTAAAGCTAATAACCCAAGGTAATCTCTTATCATCGTGTTATATTATGTTTTCATTTATGTGCAACAAATAGAAAAACCCTAGGTTTAGGGTTAAAT